ACCAACCCACCACCACCCACCCCACCCACCATCTACCACCTCACCAGCAACCACCGCCTCCACCCCACAAACCACCACCACCACGCCTCCACCACCACCCACCTCACCACCACCCGCCCCAGCCACCACCACCACCACCACCACCACCACCACCACCACCACCACCGGGGCCTCCACCACCCACCACCACCCACCACCACACACCACCGCCCTCACCCAACCACACCACCCACCAACACCATCACCCCACCGCCTCACCAGAAACCACCCACCATCACCACCACCACCACCACCACCACCACCAATCACCAATCACGCCACCACCGCCTTCCACACCACACCACCACCACCCCCACCATCCCCACCACCAACCTACCACCACCACCGCCTCCACCACCAAACCCATACCGCCACCACCACCCACCAATCACCACCACCGCCTCCACACCACCACCACCACCAACCACCCCACCAACCACCACCACCACCACCACCTCCTACCATCCACCACCACCACCACCACCCACCATCACACCACACCAGCACCACCACCTCCACCACCACCACCACCACCACCACCACCACCACCACGCCTCCACCACCCCACCACACTACCACCGCCTCCACCCACCACCACCACCACACACCACCACCACCGCACCACCTGGTCCCACCACACCAACCATCACACCACCACCACCACCACCCCATCCACCCACCACAGCTCCACCACCACCACCACCAGCCTCCACACCACCACACACCACCACCCCTCACCACCCACCGCCCTTCACCACCACCACCACCCACCACCACCACCATCACCACCACCACCCCTCCACCACCAACCACCACCATCCACACCACCGCCCTTCCACCACCACCACCACCACCCACACCCCCTCCACCACCACCACCACCACCACCACCACCCACCACCACCACCACCACCCCGCTCCACACACCACACCACCACCACCACCGCCTCCACCACACCACCACCATCACCAACACCCACACACCACCGCCTCCACACCACCACCACCACCACCCACACACCACCACCACCACCGAACCACCACCACCACCACCACGCCCCGCCTCCCCACACACCCACCCCATCCACCACCACCACCACCATCCAACCACCGCCTCCACCACCACCACCGCCTCCACCACCACCACCACACACCACCACGCCTCCACCACCACCACCACCACCACCGCCACCACACCACACCACCACCGCCTACCACCACCACCACCGCCTCACCACACCCACCACCGCCACCACCCCTCCACCACCAAACACCACCACCACCGCCTCCACCAACCACCACCACCACCCCACCACCACCAGCCACACACACACCACACCACCACATCACCGCCCCTCCACCACCACCACCACCCACCCACCACGCCTCCACCACCACCACCACCACCACCCCACCACCACCACCACTCCACCACCACCACCACCACCACCACCGCCTCCACCACCACCACCGCCTCCACCACAACACCCCATCACCACCACCACCCACCACCACCACCATCACCACCACCCGCCTCCACCACACCACCACCACCACCACCACCACCACCACCGCCTCCACCACCACCACCCACTACCACCCCATCACCACCCACCGCCCCACCACCACCACCACCGCCCTCCACCCACCACCACCGCCTCACCACCAACACCATCACCACCGCCTCCACCCACCACCCCACCATCCACCACCACACCGCCTCCACCACCACCACCACCACCACCACCCACCGCCTCCACCACCCACGCCACCACACACACCATCCGCCACCACCACCTTCCACCACACACCACACCACCACCACCACACCACCACCACCACCCACCACCCCCCCACCACCAACCACCATCACCACCACCACACCACCACCACCACCATCCACACCACCCTCCCCAACACCACCATCCACCACCGCCTCCACCACCACCACCACCACCACCACCACCACCGCCTCCACCACCCACCACCACCACCCACCACCACGCCTCCACACACCACCACCACCACCACCGCCTCCAACACCACCACACCACATCACCACCACCACCACCATTCCACCGCCTCCAACCAACCACCACCACCGCCGCCACCACCAACCACCATCACCACCGCCTCCACCCACCACCACCATCCACCACGCCCACCACCACCATCACCATCACCACCACCAATCACCACCACCACCACCATCCACCGCCTCCACCACCACCACCACACCACACCACCACCCACTCACCACCACCTCCACCAACACCACCACCGCCACCACCACCACCCCCACACCCACCACCACCCACCATCACCACCATCCACCACCCACCGCCTCCACCACCCACCACCAACCCATCACACCGCCTCCAACCACCACCACACCATCACCACCGCCTCACCACCACCCACCACACACCACCACCACCACCACTGCCCCTCCACCACCACACCACCACCACCACCGCCTCCACCACCACCACCACCGCCACCACCCCGCCTCACACAACCACCACCACCACCATGCACACCGCCTCCACCAACCACCACCACCACCACCTCACCACCATCACCACACCACCCGCCTCCACCCACCACCACCATCACCACCACACCACCATTACCACACCACCATCCACCCACGCCTCCCACCACCACCACCATCACCACACCCACCACCACCACTCACACCGCCTCCACCACCACCACCACCCCATCACCACCACCACCACCATTCACCACGCCTCCACCACCACCACCACCATCACCACCGCCTCCACCCACCACACCACCACCACCACTGCCTCCACCACCACCACCACCACACCACCACCGCCTTCGCACCCACCCACCATCAACCGCCTCCACCACCACCACCACCACCACCACCACCACCCACTGCCTCCACCCACCACCACCACCACTACCACCATCACCCACCGCCTCCAACCACCACTACCACCATCACCACCACCACCATCACCACCGCCTCCACCACCACCACCATCACCACCACCACCACCACCCACCACCACCACCGCCTCCACCCACACCCACCACCCCTCCACCACCACAACCACACCACCACCATCCACCACCACACCACCACCACCATCACCGCCTCACCACCACACCGCCCCACCACCCACACCATCACCACCCCACCACCAACCACCATCACCACCGCCTCCACCACCACCACCATCACCACCACCACCACCATCACCGCCTCCACCACCATCACCACCGCCTCCACCACCACCACCCATCACCACCGCCTCCACCACCACCACCACCATCGCTCCACCACCACCACACCGCCACCATCACCGCTCGCACCACCGCCACCATCACCACGCCTCCACCACCACCATCACCACCACACCACCACCACCAACCGCCTCCACCACCACCACCACCATCACCACCACCACCACCACTGCCTCCACCACCACCACCACCACTACCACCACCACCTCACCACCCTCACCAGCACCACCGCCTCCACCACCACCACACCCACACCACACACCACACCACCCGCCTCCATCCACCACCACATCCACCGCCTCCACCACCACCACCCACCACCAATCACCACCGCCTCCACCACCACCACCATCACCACCGCCTCCACCACCACCCGCCTCCACCACCACCACCACCACACCACCGCCCTCCACCACCATCACACCACCACCATCACGCCCCACCACCACCACCGCCTCCACCACCTCACCACCACCACCATCACCGCCTCCACCACCACCACCGCTTCACCACCACCACCATCACCACCGCCTCCACCACACCATCACCACCACCACCACCACCATCACCACCAGCCTCCACCACCACCACCACCACCACCACCATCACCACCACCTCCACCACCACCACCATCACCACCGCCTGCACCACCGCCCTCCACCACCACCACCACCCATCACCACCGCCTCCACCACCACTACCACCATCACCACCCACCCACCATCACCACCGCCTCCACCACCACCACCTCACCACCCACCACCATCACCACCACCACCACCACCACCACCACCCACCGCCTCCACCACCACCACCCACCATCAACACCGCCTCCACCACCACACCCACCACCACCACCGCCTCCACCAACCATCACCACCACCACCCATCACCGCCTCCACCACCACCCACCGCCTCCACCACCACCCACCACCACCATCACCACCCACCACCACCGCCTCCACCACACACCATCACCACCGCCCACCACCATCACACCGCCTCACCACACCACCACACCACCACCACCACCATCACCACCCCCACCACCACCACCATCACCCACCGCCTCCACCCACCACCACCACCATCACCACCGCCTCCACCACCACCACCACCATCGCCTCCACCACCACCACCACCGCCACCATTCACCGCCTCCACCACCACCACCATCACCCACCGCCTCCACCACCACCACCATCACCACCACCACCACCACCATCCTCACCACCACCACCAGCCACCACCACCACCGCCTTCACCATCACCACCACCACCCATCCACCGCCTCCACCACCACCACCACCACCACACCACACACCACCACCACCACCACCACCCACCACCATCCCACCCTCCACCACCACCACCACCACCACCACCACCACCACCACCACCACCACCACTGCCTCCACCACCACCACCACCACCACCACCACCACCACCGCCTCCACCACCACCACCATCACCACCACCACCGCCTCCACCACCACACCACCACCACCACACCTCCACCCACCACCACCACCACCCTCCACCACCACCCCCACCACACCACCGCCTCCACCACCACCACCACCACCATCACCGCCTCCACCACCACCGCCTCCACCACCACCACCACCATCACCACCGCCCTCCACTACCACCACCATCACCGCCTCCACCACCACCACCACCACCACCGCCACCACCACCACCACCACCGCCTCCACCACCACCACCACCACCACCACCATCACCACCACACCACCCACCACCACCACCCCCCACCACCACCACCACCACCACCACCCTCCACCGCCACCATCCACACCACCACCACCACCACCACACCACACCTCCACCACCATCACCACCACCAACCACCACCACCACCACCACCACCGCCTCCACCACCACCACCATCCCACCCGCCTCCACCACAACACCGCCTTCACACCACCACCACCATCCATCCACCACCACCACCACCACACCACCGCCTCCACCACCACCACCACCACCACCTCCACCACCACCACCACCACCACCACCACCGCCTCCACCACCACCACCATCACCACCGCCCTCACCACCAACACCGCCTTCACCACCACCACCACCATCACCACCGCCCTCCACCACCACCACCACCATCACCACCGCCTCCACCACCACCACCACATCACCACCGCCTCCACCACCCACCACCATCACCCCACCACCCTCCACCACCACCACCACCACCACCCCACCACCATCACCACCACCACCACCACCACCGCCTCCACCACCACCACCATCACCACCGCCTCCACCACCAACACCGCCTCCACCACCACCACCACCACCACCATCACCACCACCACCACCACCATCGCCTCCACCAACACCATCACCACCGCCTCCACCACCACCACACCACCACCATCACCACCACCGCCACCACCGCCTCTACCACCATCACCACCACCGCCATCACGACCACCACCACCACCACCACCAACCACCATCACCACCACCACCACACAACACCACCACCACCATCATCACCACCACCACCATCACCACCACCACCACACCAACCACCACCACCACCACCGCCTCCACCAACCACCATCACCACCGCCTCCACCACCACCATCACCACCACAACTACCACTAACACCACCATCACCACCGCCTCCACCACCACCACCACTAACACCACCATCACCACCGCCTCCACCACACCACCCACCACCACTACACCACCATCACCACCGCCTCCACCACCGCCACCATCACCACCACCACCCCACCACCACCACCATCACCATCACCACCACCACCACCACCGCCTCCACCACCAACACCATCAGAGTGAAGGCGTGGGTGGGTGAGTGGATGAGTGAATGAGTGAATTGAAGCCGTGGATGAGTAAGTGAGTAGGTGAATGAGAGAATGAGTGAGTGAAATCAGCTAAAGTGAAGGCGTGGGTGGGTGAGTGAAGTGAGTATGTGGTTGATTGAGTGAGTGGGAGAGAATGAGTGAGAGTAAGGTAAATGAGTGAGTGGAGTAAATGAATGAAATGAGTGACGACTGCTGAAGGTGAATAAAAAGAAAACAAAATCAAAGAGCACAGAATGAAATCAAGATACCATCAACACCATCACCGTAAATTATACCATCACCACACCACAACCACCAACCATCACCACCAACCACAACAACACCACCACCACCACTCTACCATCACCATCACTATGTATAACAGACATGGTGGTGATGGTGGTGGAGGTGGAGGTGTTGCTTGTGGTTGCGTTAGTGGTGGTGATGGTGTTGGTGGTGGTGATGGTGATGGTATGATTTGAAAATAGACAAAAGTGAGTTTTTTTTTAGGCCTAACGAGCTGGGGGTGGGGGTAGGGTAGAGGGTAGGATAGGGGTTTAAAAGATTGAAATAAACCACTTACAATCAAATAAAATAAATAATATATACATATTCATTTTACTTAAGAAAAAATAATAATGATTGATCATAAACCAAAAAATCACTTCATAGGCCTAATTGCCTAACAAGCAATCCTCAAAGAAATATAGTGAATAAACGAATAGAAAATACTACTAAATAAATAAATATGTTATAACTAAAGAAACAAATGGATAGAAAATAGATAATAATAGATGATAAAAGAACGACAAACCTCAAGCGTCTATAAGGAAAATGAAAATGTTTCTTATACATATGATTCCACTCAGTCACAGTATAATAGTCTTTGATCCCTTTGGCTATAGAGGCGGTTAGAGTTGGCGAGCAAAATTGTTATATATAATGAGGAAACATTATCGAAATGGGAAAATAATGTAGATCTGTTTTTTTTTCGTTTTGGGATGAAGGAAAGGGAAGGGAAAAAATAGAGAAAGTGGAGGAAATAGAGCAATATCATAATAGAGGATAAGAGGATTCGAAAGAGTTAATAAGAAAAAAATGATATTACAAATAATCAAATATACATGCATACATACTTAACTACAAGCTTATGCGAGTGCGTATGTATGTCCACGTAAATGTGCGTACATATGCGTGCGTATGGCAATGAAATGGATAAATACAATTAGATATTCAGTTCAAAGGGTGGATAGTCTAGAGATACAGGAACAAAATTCGTAACGAAATACAGGCTTTTCATAATTCCTCTTACAAAAATAGCGTATTGCTTTACTTTCCTGATGACATAATTACTTCAGGACGGTAAACTGTGTGTAATGCCTTTAAGCTCCATTCCTTTCATGTGTAAGATGCTGAAAACAGGCCTGAGTGATACACAACAACAATGTTCCTAGCATGATATAATGAACTGTGAAAATGTCTAAATTTTTTCGCATATTTAATCTATAACATTCGTAGAAATAATTATGCACACACACTCACTCAGAAACACGATCAAAATCTTTCTCTCTCTCTCTCTCTCTCTCTCTCTCTCTCTCTCTCTCTCTCTCTCTCTCTCTCTCTCTCTCTCTCTCTCTCACACACACGCACAAAAGGAAGATGAAATATTTTGGGAGAATGTAGAAAATATTGAAATGTTTTGCGTATGGATTGTATTTAAGAGGGAAAAGTACAGGGATCTCGAAAGAAAAAAAAATGTAAATACATTAAATAGACAATAAATAATGACTCATCAATGACATTACATATCAGATTATTCTTTATCTTAATGAATCTCGTATAATGAGGCTATTTACTTATTCATCTACTTACATTAGACATTTCTTTTGATAAAACAAAGAAGAAAAATGTGTTTCTGGAGATGACGGGAAAACAATTGTGCCATTTGAGGTCAGGGGGCAAAGGCTAATTAGTAATGAAAATATAGGGCTTGAAATTAATTATTTTTCACAACACCTCAATCATACTCCAAAGCCATACATCACAAAAAAAAAAAGTTATCCATCGAAAATTTATTTTATTTATGTATTTTTTATTACGTATAATGCATAATGTTCAATGTAAGCGAGTGAACGAAGGAGCGAGAGAGGGGAGTGAGTGAGGGAAGGAGAGAGAGAGAGAGAGAGAGAGAGAGAGAGAGAGAGAGAGAGAGAGAGAGAGAGAGAGAGAGAGAGAGAGAGAGAGAGAGAGAGAGAGAGAGAGAGAGAGAGAGAGGAGAGAGAGGAGAGAGGAGAGAGAGAGAGAGGGAGAGGGAGAGAGGAGAGAGAGAGAGAGAGAGAGAGAGAGAGAGAGAGAGAGAGAGAGAGGGAGAGGGAGAGGGAGAGAGAGGGAGAGAGGAGAGAGGAGAGAGAGAGAGAGAGAGAGAGAGAGAGAGAGGAGAGAGAGAGAGAGAGAGAGAGAGAGAGAGAGAGAGAGAGAGAGAGGGAGGGAGAGGAGAGAGAGGGAGAGGGAGAGGGGGAGGGAGGAAGGGGATGAGGGATGAATGAGTGAGTGAGTGAAGGAGTGAGTGAGTGAGTGAGTGAGTGAGTGAGTGAGTGAGTGAGTGAGTGAGTGAGTGAGTGAGTGTGAGTGAGTGAGTGAAGGAGTGAAGGAGTAAAAGAAAGTGAAGAGTGAAAGAGTGAAAGAGTGAGAGGAGAGAGAGAGAGAGAGAGAGAGAGAGAGAGAGAGAGAGAGAGAGAGAGAGAGAGAGAGAGAGAGAGAGAGAGAGAGAGAGAGAGAGAGAGAGAGAGGAGAGGGAGAGAGGGAGAGAGGGAGAGAGGGAGAGAGGGAGAGAAGGGAGAGAGGGAGAGGGAGGGAGAGGGAGAGAGGGAGAGAGGGAGAGGAAGGAGAGAGGGGGAGAGATGAGAGTGAGTGAGTGATGAGTGAGTGAGTGAGTGAAAGAGTGAAAGAGTGAAAGAGAGAAGAAGAGAGAGAGAGAGAGAGAGAGAGAGAGAGAGAGAGAGAGAGAGAGAGAGAGAGAGAGAGAAGAGAAGGAGAGAGAGAGAGAGAGAGAGAGAGAGAGAGAGAGAGAAAGAGAGAGAGAAAAGAAGAGAGAGAGAGAAGAGAGAGTGGAGAGAGAGAGAGAGAACGAAGAGAGATTCATCAGACTATTATAAACCATTTCTAAGAAACGTGTATATGAATAGAAGCTTAACAAATGCCCAGCGAAAGAATAAGATGAAGAAAAAGAGGGAGAGAAGATAAAAGAATGACGTCATCATACTCATGCCAATAAGAGCTATAAAGATATCTATTTTCATGTATATATCGGTTATATCAAATACCCCTGAAATCTTCGCTGTTATTTCCTCTCAATAAGCGTTGCACGTCATGAGCAACCTCTAGAAATATTTTTTTCACTACAGAAGTTAATGGAAGTTTCGCCTTCTGTGTTATATTTTCGTTGTCATTAATGTGTGGGTTACAATCCAAAGCAATTTTGTTTAAATGTATCATATGTGATGTACTGAATGCAAGATAAAGTAATCGATATATTCTATATATATCTGCCTATGATATCATATAGACAATTATCCTATCATTTCTGGTATCTATCATCTACCACCTCGGACGTCACACGCTACCGGCCAGACGTCATACCCGACCCACCCCGTCATTAGTACTTTATCGCTACGTCATAGGGCATTGGATAAGCAGAAGGTATTGCAGCATTGACAGCTCTATTGCAGCATTGACAGGCTATGTATGTATGTATGCAAGTATGTATTAGTATATATATTTTTTCGTTTGCTTTTATTTATTAACTAACGATCGTTGCTCTGTCACTATTTTTTCTTTTTTTTCTCCCCTCTCTTTCTCTTTCCATTACCACAGGAAACCCATAAATGAGATAAAAAAAGGATTTATCCCATGTGCTAATAACCCAACGGTCTTATCAGTATACCCCGTAGAATGCAAGATACCTCTAATATTACCTCGTTATCAGTGCGTAACGACTTAATTAAAAGATATTAAAGATCGCACGTCTTAGTAATGTGCTCCAGAGGCCTATAAACTATAGACTATCTGGAGTGTTTACGTAATACATGCGCAGAGTTGCGAGATCAAGTCAAAATTAGGGTGGGACAGAAAACAGATGATTTTGTCATTGTTATGATCTACTCAAATATTCCGAATGATATAATTTTCGATATATACGAATGACAAACATCAACAACAAAAGCCAGTACAGAATAAATAAAACAAAACAAACACAAAACACCAAAGTGATATTACAACGAAGATATAAAAAAAACATTATTACTATCAAATGCTACGCACACATAGCTCTCAACAAAACAACATAAAAATAAATGATAATAATGGTAACAATAAATAAATAGATACATGAAATAAGATAAAAGTAAACACTCATTAAAATAATAATGATAATAATGACCCACTTCCTATACATGTTTAAAATACAAAAATCTTTCCTTCATCAGGCCTCTGCGGTGTAACGGCGACGACCAAGTGTCCGAATAAGACAGAATTGGACACATGCCTGGGGAATGTTGCAGGATACATGCCCAAATCCGGACTACCAGCTGATCGGAAACAGCTTGTAAACATGTGCAGGTAAAAAGAAGAAAAAAATGGATTTCAAAAGATCTAACAAGGTATTTGTGGATAGCTAATAGAATGTTGGGTGATTGAGAAGAATATATGCTTATGTTTCGCGGATAAGTTGGGCGTTATATATATATTTTGTGTGTGTGTGCGTATCCATATATATTCTTTACTTATCGAATCTTAAATAATAATAATTATGTGGCACAGAAATACTACTAGACATTAGCACTCCCTGCACTATATAATATAGTTAAGAGTTACTGATTTTGGTATACATATTTGGGTAAATGACTGATGCATTAGTTTGACTTGAGATCCCTCTTTTAACATTCACAAATCTGTTCTGACTTCTTATTGTATGATTATGCTATTGTACTTTTTTGTAATTAT